CCCTACACTCAGGTCATTGGTAATCTGGAACTGTGCATTCAATAAATGTGCTTTTGAGTGGCAGAACTCGATCTGACTACTAAAATATAACTCTAAACTTTAATCCAGCACAGGGGCAATTGAGAAAATACTAGTTGTTAATTTCATTGGAATGGAGGGCAATATCCAAATAAGTAATTTATTCAAAATGTAGTACTGATTTGGGACTTTGCTCTCTATGTGTATCTGTACTCCAGTTATGGAAATATTACAATTGTAACTTGTTTAAAGTTTTGCAGCATAAACAGGGAGGAGAGTTTTTTAACCTACCCCAATGAAAATAAATGGCGATAGAATACTTGACAGTGAAAATCTACAGCCTTCCAGAAACTTGACTTAAATTTTCCTTAGTATTTTCTCTAGCTAATGCATGAGTAAGACTGAAAATCATCCTTGACTTAGCTTTTGCATATGTTCAAGCTTTTTAAGACCTTCTTGGTTTTAGTCATGATGTTAAATACTTTTGCTCTTAAATACTTTTAATTCTAGCATGAAATTTTAAAAGTTGATTAATGATGTGTATATATAGTAATTCTAGGAAACTATATATCAGCTAGGGAAGTATTGTTCATATTTGTTATGTTCACTTCAGCTGTGTTTTTAATTTGGTTATTTTTGTTTTTCTTTTAACACAGTATAGTGCATGAAAACCTAACTTTAAACCCAAATTTATGCTTTTCTGGCTTGAGGCTTACACTTAAATTCTTACCAAAAATAACTTTGCTTTCTATGTTAGAAACAAATTAAAGACTTCAGTCAAGTTACCTATTTTTCAAAACGAGCCTTAATTGATGTCAGACTAGTATTTGTCTTGCAGTTTTCGCACTTAAACATTGCTTGAGTAGTGAAGTTCTAGCTGAACAAATTATACATACATATGTACATACATTCTTTTACTCCCTTATCTATTCCTACTCAACTGTTGGAGGCTACCTCTTTGTAGTAGCTATCAAGTTTCATGTGAAATGTATAAAAACTTCTCAAATCAAACCTGGAACACTTGTCCTGTTACTCCACTCATACAGCTTAGTAACTTGTGGAGTAGGTGTCTCTGACTGGACAGGTGCATGTATGTGCGTTCCCTTTTGCACTGTTAAAAAGAAAAACTAAAATGTGCCAATTTGGGCTCTTTGATTATTGCAAATAATTTAGTATTAGTGCTACTTCCTTAGTGATCACAGCTGAGCTTAGTGAAATATTGTTTTAGGAGGAGTTGCCACTGAAAGGCTGATACTTGCTTTATTCCAGAAGTGGAACAGCAGTTTTTGTCATTAAATAATAAGCGAAGCTTTCTCTTTCTTCAGTTGTTTCATCTTCATTACCTTAAATAAACAATGACATTATGGAGTGGCACAGAAGTAAAGTTCTAACAAGTTTACTGTTGGTAGTTCTACCTTTTTGTCCAAAGCCTCAGTAATATTTTAGATGATCTTAATGGACCTAGAAAATTAAAACTGTGTGTGAGCTAGCACATTGTTAATCTGCAAACAAGAGGCTTACTAAGTCCTTCTCCAGCACAGAACACATGCTAAAGCATCTTACTGTCTCTTTACCTTTGTAAGCTTATAATAAAAATTAATCCATGCAAATATATAACTACAAAAAAATGTTTCTGCTGGTTTTATACTCATTTAGAAATAAAATTGACTAAGAATTTTGGTAGTAGGTCAGGGAGTAGTAGGTGAGTTCTATTCTATAGCTTCCTACAAGAGAAGTGGAACAGCAGTTACTTTGGTTTAAAAAAAAATAAATAAATGCTGTTAGCTTTTTTCCCAGGAAGGATGAGGGAAGATAGAATGAGACTAAAGATGGGAAAGGAAGATGAAATGCCTTAGTAACATTGCCTCTTCTTTTCATTGTTTTATCTGCGTCCCAACAGATGAATTGTTCCTTTTTGGATTTTTCGTTTTATCCAGCTCTCCCTAGCCATTTTGTGCTTTCAGGTCTCCCTCGTATATGTGAAATACCTTATCTTGGGAGGAACGTGAGGTGACATATCCCGTTGTTCGATGTACATATTAAAGAGGCATTTGATCTTCTGCTATGTAATCCAAGCTTTCACAGAACGCCTCACTCCTTAAAGAGAAAGGCAATGCATATTCCCTCATAGGAGCGCAAGATCGATTGGACAGATTCTTGGTAGTTTTATGGCCTATATGCAGTGTTCTACTTTTAATAGAAAAATCTAGAAACTTGTTTCATAACACTCCCCCCCCCAAGTCTTCTGGGAATCTAACAAAAAAATATCTAATAAATAAAAGATATTTATCTTTTGCTTTGTTGAAAAGCAGAAAAAACAGAAAAGCAGAAATTGCTTTTCTGTTTGTTATTTTTTTCATGTCATTTACTTTGAGAATACAGAAGCTTAAGTGTAGACTTAAAGTAGTCTCTATTGATAAGATAGCAAGCTGCTATTCCTTTTCATTCCTTCATCGACTGCACTTTCAAATTAGAAAGTGTAATCATCCAAATGTTTACTTTGAGAAAGCCTTTTTCTGGCATTAGATATTCTTGCTGCTACATCTATTGACTAGATAGGAGCCTTGGCGTCTAGAGGATGTTATGGAAGACTATTCATCAATATTAGTGGTCTTAAGAGTAATAATACTGAAGCATAATTCATAAACTCATTTTGTGATTTGAAAACAGGCTTAATTAGTGTGTTTGTAAGGTATATCGAAATATCTTGCCGGAGTGTTACTGGATAATACAGAAGAGGGTAAATCACCTTCTGTTTAATAGAGTTGTCAATAAGTGTAGTGTATTTAAAACAACAACAACAAAAAATATCTATGTACAGAGTACTAAAGAGCGCATGTTTGCAGCTTCAGGAAATGGCATTCTTGCTTTGAATTAATAAGACTTAAACTTCTAGCATACCTCTTGTTTTCCTACGATGGAATAGAGAAATTTCTCATTTACATTTGAGGCTCGTGGTTCTTCTGTTGCCAAGTTGCTGCAAAGTTTTCATTTTAAAAATAGGTTTCCTTTCTTCTTCTCTCAGTAGCTAATTATATAATTTTCTTTCAGACACTGACAGTTTCTTTTGTAACAATTTTAGGAAAGGATAATAGGTATTATTTAGAAGATGAAATAGTTACAAATATTGCATCAAATGTTAATATTATTAATTTGTGTTTATCTTGATAGTAAAACTAAAACATAGGCTGAGAGGGATAAGCAGGATTTACATTGAGGAAAAAAATGAGAGAGTCATTAATACATATATTTGTTTCAAATATAGATCAAAGAAAGCAAAAAACTCAATCGATAAATCCACGGAGACTGATAATGGCTACGTGTCCCTTGATGGGAAAAAGACAGGTAAAAGCAGTGAAGAATGTTTGCAGGCCCATGACCGTCGCTGTGAGGTGATTAAGCCAGAAGAGTCGGGGTGGAGCACTGCAACAGTGAGAGATGCCTTCAACAATCACAGTCTTCACAAAGTAAGTGTACTTCATTGCTTTCAAAGCAGCATTATTAATTTGTCAAATGATATGCGAGGTGTGTTTTTATGATGCTTTCGATGCATTCGTATCTACTTTCTCCTTAAAAAGAATTTTCAAATGACATTAGGCTTAGGATCCTGGGGCCAAAATTGTCTTATTTCATCCTTATATTCCTAGCCTTTCCTTTTTCTTGCAGAAGGATCCTTACTGACA